CGTCCTTGAGTGTTTGACTTTAGATGTGAGATATTCCGTGGTCGTCTGGGCAGGCTTGGTGATAGCAAGTTGGGAAGATGTTTATGTTGGAGTCACCTACAGCACCCAATATTTTGTAAACTATCATAAAGCAACCTTTTATTCTTTTGCGACTCAGAAAGAAAAGTAATAATTTTCTTAGTCTGTTTTTGTAGGACTTATGCTTTAAACCTTTCACTCATTCTGCTGCCCGCCTATTCATTCGATGAAAAACATGTATGACTGTCGAAGAATGTGGATGGGACCGTACGTATCTTCCAAAGAGAGTTAGGAACAATAGCGTGGTCATTTTGTCAAGTTATCTTCACATGGGTTAGAGAATTGCTTTTGCCTTGGTTGCTTCACCTTTTTAGACTCGGATGGTGCTCAGGCTCTGCACAGCTACTAAACCGATACCGCTCTCTGGGTAGCCATATGAGAGCCTAATTCCATGGTATACGACATAAGTAATACAGCTCACTATATGTCGTTTCGACTGGTTAATTTTTAACTCGTCTACCATATAACACTTAAATGTTGTAAGGTCCTTCGAAGCTCTGAGCAATCCTCAGATCTCTGCGTCGTCTGGATAGACCAGTACTGCTAATTTCATCTGAATGTTCACTAATGAATATCATAAAGACGAGTAGCCGTAGAGTAGTCCTCTGTGAAACTCCTGATACAGGGACTCGCCAGCTTTCATCCACGCTATTTAACTCGTAACGATACGTCCAATGGGTCGCAACGTATGCGTTTTAGGAGTTCTTTAGGTACTGTGTTGTAAACACTTGCACTGCCAAAGAATACTATATGGACCGGAATTTTTTAGTCTCAGTAGGTCGATAAAATATCCCACACCATGAAAATAAAGGATGAGCAGTATCTGTCTTCTTCACATTTTTGACCTCGTGGAGGATTTCACTTCCATTTTAGTCCTCCATCATCTGTCGATCCATCCATTCATCCTCAATTCTATCAGAAGTAATGTGACTGGTCTGCAGCACACTGGATCTTTTTTATACTGCTCTTGAAAATAAAAACTGACTAGTTTCCGGTCTTTTGGGATTTGACCTGACACCATTCATAGTACGGTATGGACAAAATTATATGTGGGTGTGTACTTAACGAATAACATGAGACACTACGAAATAAGCTTTTCACATCTGAGATTAATATTCTTATAGATGACAGCGTATGTATATATATTGTGGTAGCATATAAGTATTACATAGCTTAGCGTGGCTCAGTAGTGGAGTATCTGGAAATAAAAATGCATCGCGATCAGCGGATAGCTTGAAGAATAAGCTGGTCAAACACATGCTCATATAAAGATTTATCATCTTCCTCATCGACTAGATAAGCCTGATGCATGTTTCAAAATTTGCCTGTCGTTATGATTGTCAATTCCCGATATAATTAACTCACTCTGTCTAGCTTATTATCTCTGCTTCCTCTTTTCTGCATACACTTCAATCTTCTAACACAGTCCTCACTTCCAACTAAGTAACTTATTTATTTTCTCAGTTCTGAAATTTTCCTCTCCTTATTAGCACTTGAATTTTCTCATTATTATTCTTCACATTACAACTAACTGATCTCCAGCATGGTAATGTGATAGCTGCTGGTAACCACCTTCCCTGAAGTGAACGAACTCATTCAAATCAGGAGGCATACAAATTCATAAATAACTGCCAAATGATTTGTATTAGCGCAGCCAAGTTGCTAGATTACAATTCACTGGACATTATCAGATACTTAGATCCGTAATGAAAGAACACGACATAAGCGCGAAGAAAGTGATTGCCATGTAAGACAATGGACCTGAGTTTACTAAATTCCAGAACAGGCGTGAGAGAAGAGAATCCATAACCCGTTTGCCATTCAAATAAACTATTGAAGAGTACGGGCACATATTTCGCAAATAAACTGACTTCCGTAAGTACATATACATATTTCATCAGATCTGGACTTAGTGGGCATTATAATGTAAATAAGCTCAGTCAACCAAAATATTTTTCACTCCTAGTTTTCCTTTTCAGTAGTCTGTTGGGGTCTTGCGTGTAAGAAGTTGTTATACCATTGTTGGTACCAGTTACTCTGGGCCACACCATCTTTTCGAATATGGTTATGTGCTTTTAGTGGTGACCGAGTCGAGATTGACTATGATCACCACTAAATACTAATTACTATCTCGTCACAATGAATACAAATAAATCCAGGGTAAAGAATATATTTGAAGGAGAAAGTGGGAAACATAGGGAGCAGCAAGTTATGATTGATGGCAGCAACGCAAAAAAGAAGTTTGCGCGCAAGTAAGTCTTTTTTTAGTACAGTTAAACAAAACGAGTACAATATTCAATATTTTCTTTTCATTAGTTGCGTTTCCTTCGTAGAAGTGTTCCATTACAAGCTCACCGTCAATTCATTTGTTTCTACTTGATAACCAAAATAAAAGTGATTTTATGAACAACAAAAGTAGTAGAATTGAACATGGTGTACAAATAATTAATTTCTAGAACTTTCCAGCACATAATCCGGCGGTCGCCAATGGACGAACGTATACATTAGGAAGAACAAGAAAACATACTTCAAGACATATTGTATTCCGAATTTGGTGAGCGATACCTGACAAATCAACTATTTGTAGACATGAGCACCACAAATTTTTATTTGCTTAATTGTTAGCATTTGGATGAAATAAAGCCACTACATACTTTAGAGAACAGTGGATAATAGTGTATTCTGTCGAAATGTAATTTATTTGATGGTTATCTATTGATTTTGCCCTGATTGTTTAAAACATGGAATTTTGATTGTCTTTTTCAGACACCTTTTTTGTCGACCTACTTTCTTAGCATCTCATATTGGGTCCGTTTTTGAAAAAATATTATTTGCCAACAGATCTCAGCGTCAAACCTCAAAAATGTCTTTGATTTCCTTTCTTTCATGCAACCAATATTTTGAAGTGCTGTAGATCATCATATGATTTTATCTGGATGATAATAAACTAATAGCCCCGCAAGTTTTTGACTGCTACTTTCAATCGACTGATTATTATTATCCTTTTTAATAAATAAATCCCGTGTTTGTATTTGAAGTTAATATAGATGAAAACATATTTTGCCATGAGTTAGGTTGTACGATTGTAATTTCTCATAATAATAAAATCATCCACCTTCGAAAGAAAATTTTTCTCATTAATTCATTACATGTTGATGAATATAAATGTTACGGAATTCATTTGGTCAGATTACACCTGTTCCACACCTTGTACACGCCTTAATGAAATATTATATACATTAGATACTTCTCCAGTTCTTAATCGCCTTACATTGAAACAGTGAGTACAATGTCGAATCAACTCGACTAGTTAGCAAATATCAACTTGTTAATCGATAGAACATTTTGTAACTGCTAGACTTAATTGATTTTGATTTTACATTCTCAACATTAGTTCTCAGTAGACCTCTAACATGTTTGGTAAATCTAGAACTCTGTGATTGAGACGTATAGAAAAGAATAAAATACTGGTAGGTTGTGTTTGTCACGGATTAATCGCAATCGTGATACCATTGAAAACAGAGAATCATACGCCAGCTAATTCGTCCAAGGATCGGAATACTCAGTTGTGTAATAATTTCCGGAAATAAATAATTTTTACTAAATCATGTATAGGAAAATTGGCGAAACAAACTTTTGCATACCTTCGACCAACTAGTAGAGAAAAGTGTGATGTCAATAAAAATTGACTAAAGTGATAACAAATCATTAATTAACAGTCAGTCAGTTACAACGTAGAAATTCGTACCTTCGAG